AAGCAGCTGTAAAGAAATCACCTGTTAACAGAATTCAGAGTAAAAGTTACGCTGGGCTATTCCTAACCCACACGCTAGGATAGCATGGGTGGAAGTGATACAACGTTGTCTCAGTTATCCCAGCATTTTCAGTATACAGAACTGGAACAGATTAGAAATTGAAGCCACCCACAGAGCCTTATTCAGGAACATCAGTACAGTAGCAAGGCAGGCAGGTCCAAGGCGCCAACCGGGGCCGGCAGGGAAGAACGGCCGCGTCCTGTGGAGGACTGACGGGCCATGGGGTTTCGACAGAGTTCCTGGCCCCTATCATCGGGAAACACCAGCCTGTCCCACAGCAGGGCTGCTCAAACTAGAATGAAGTGAGGACGTCTGAAGAAAAGCGTACAAAATACGTGGATCATTTTGTCTTTTTTAATTAATCCTAACTATATAAGTAAACATCTGTGCAAAAATTGCATAATATAAAAAATTTTAGCATTACAAGTGAGATCAAACTCCCTTTTGACCAACATCTTACAACCTAACACTCGTAGGAATTGTATCTGGCAGTTTTTCTATATAATTGTATACATATATTTACCATTAGAAAATCTATTCAGTATTACTTCTTTCTAAATATTTTAAACGAATGTACATACTGTTCTGCAACTTGCTGTACTCAACGTCTTGCTGATCTCTTCCTGTCAGTATATAAAGATACTTACTGAGTGCCTATTATGTAGCAGTCACTCCTGCAAGCACTTTCAGATCTGTTAATGCATTTAATCTTCATAACAATGCAGTGACTGTGTTATGTCCTTATCATCCCTGTTTTGTAGTTGAGGATCCTGAGGGACCTCCGGGAGGTTAGGTAAATCGCCCACTTTGCTGGCAGAGCTGCTTGTTCCGGATTGTATTCGAGGAAGAGGAACTCCAGGTCTCCTCTCAGGGTGACTGTGTCACGCTGCTTCTCCGAGAGACAGAAGCGTGCCTCCTGAGTGCAGGATGTGCCAGACCAGATCCCAGTGGGTCCGTCTTTCATGAATGTAGAGTGACTGAATAATACGCAGATACCACTTAAGGTTTTAAATGCTGCTGAGGGCTTCATCATGCTCAGCTTTTCACCTGACAGTCGCACAACCAAGGTGTGGCCGTTTTTGAGGAGAACAAGGCACAGAAGAATGTCAGGGGAGCGCATTGTTATGCGGCTCCATTCCCCAGTTCCCCTGACCCCTGTATCTGATCCTCGGGCTGCACTCCATTTACGTCAAAAACACCGTCAATCCGGTGAAAAACCTGACTGACTCACAGCATTGCTATAGGGAGCTAGTCTCTGTGTAATATGATATAGAACATCCTAATTTCATAGATCGTTTTTCATAACAGCTGCTCAGATTGTAATTGAATCCATTAAATTCTTTCAAAGGCTCCAATCCGAGGCAGTATTAAAACTAGTCTTAAAATGCAGTCGAGGTTAGTCCTACCCACTCAGAACTGCTCTGTCTTTAGCTCCTGTATCTCCTCGGAATGTATCTGTCTGTATTATTGATCTGTTTATGCCTGCTTCTCTTTGTATTTTTAGCTACATTTGAGTCAGAGGGAGGGGATTTCACAGCTAGAGGGTCTGAAAGAAAGAAAGAAAGAAAGAAAGAAAGAAAGAAAAGAAAGAAAGAAAGAAAGAAAGAGAAAGAAAGAAAGAAAGAAAGGAAGGAAGACTACAAGCAAGCAGAGGAAGGGAAGGAAATTTCCCTCTGGTGCTTATGGACAACAGAACAAGATACACTGGAGGGAAGAGGGAGAGGAAGAACCGAGGTCTTCCTGGTTTCAAGGAAGTTGTGTTATACTGCAAAGATCTCTGTAGGGCTGCCTAAGCCTTTACGTAAGCCCTGCTAATAAATTCCTTCTCACTTCTCCCTTTATCTGTTCAATTCTCAGTAGTGGAATAGCTCCTCCAGTCCTGGGTATGAGCTGCCCTGCTGGGTCCTCATGGGCCAGAACTGGATTGAAAAAGGGAACCGTGTTGACAAAGCTGGGAAGAGCATCTTCGCGTGTCTTTTTGGAACTGAGTAACCAAAGTTGTTACTCAGCCACCCAGACATGAAACCACCTGAAAGCAATTTGTTTTACAGTTTTCAAAATGGCTTCCTTTTTTCTTGTTCTCTAATAAACATATGGAAGATTAATGATCATATTCATGTGTAAGCTGTTGGAGATCTGAATTTTTTAGACCAGTCAAGTCATGTATAGTTTCATAACCTAAAACACTGAATCATAATGGCATTAAAATCTTGTAACAGCAGCTTTCTCAACACTAGCCAAATTGGAGTGGACAGCCTAGTAGCCTGGGAGTCAGCACACCAGAATACTCGTGACAGTCCGTCAACTAGCCGTGTAAATGAGCTTACACTTACTCGAGTTTTCCGAGCTTCTGGAGAGGAAAAAACCGTACTTGTTGTGTTTCTCAAGGGGGTTGTGATGCAGGACAAATGAGGTGGAGTATGTGACAGTGCTTTGCGTTGTTGCGTGCCATCCAAACATGCAGCAGAAAAGATGTAAAACATGCGTGTACCGCAGCATTTCTGATTATGTCAGCGTTTTCATCTCTGCAGCATTCTACACTTTATACGTAGACAGAGCTTGTAAGTTTGACTCTGTCCCAGTTATCACAACTAATGAACTCTTAATGGGAGGGTGTGAATATAGATTTTATTAGAAGGAGGAAATTAAAGTGATCAAGGAGATTATTTTTCCTCCATTGCCATATAAAAAATAAAGAGACTAATTAGAGAATATCTAGTTTCTCCTCATAGGTACTTGCATGGTCTGACTTTTCTGAATATTCATCCTTCATTAAAGTATAGGGAATGATCAGGCCCCCAAAATTCCAAGACTCAATCCAAAAGTAACCATCTGAGATGAATACACACTTCTCTGGTGAAGAAATACAAATGGCAAATAAATATGTGAAAAAATGTTCAGCATCACTGGTCATTCGCGAGTTGCAAATTAAAACAACACTGAGATTCTTTCTCACCCCAGAAAGAAAGGCCATCATCAAGAAATCAACCAATAACAAATGCTGGAGAGGCTGTGAGGAAAAAGGAACTCTACTGCACTGTTGGTGGGAGTATAGATAGGTGAAACCACTATGGAAATTAGTTAGAAGTCCCACTTAACCCAGCCATTCCCCATCTGGGTATTTTCCCAGAAGAATTGAAAATATCATACCTACCACAGCAATATATGTGCACCCATGTTGACAGCAGCACAATTTGTTATAGCTAAATCTTGGAAACAACCCAAATGCCCATCCACTGAGGAATGGATAAAAAAGATGTAGTATTTTTATACAATGAAGTATTACTCAGCTATAAAAAGATAAACTCGAGGCTTTTATAGGTAAGTGGATGCAACTAGAGACCATACTCATAAGAGAAATAAATCAGACCCACATGTGTAAACATCATATTGTCTCCGTAGTGTAAGAACCTGAAAGAGTAAATAAAACCCAGAGATACAATAGATATTGTGAAAGGGAAAGAAATTGCTCAAAGGGAAGGAACAGGAAGAAATTGCTCAAAGGGATGAGGAAAAGGAGAAAAAGAAAGAAGGAAGCGGGGGGAATATATAGCTAGATAGCTGGGATAATTGTATTGCTGATGTCTGTTGGGTTATTCACAGGAACAGTTAGTGATTAAAAAGTTTTTGACCAATTCTGCATGCTTATACCTGGTAGTCTGAACAGCTAATTTGAAGACAACAATATGCAGTGTAACAACCATTGGTGAATTCCTACCATCTTGTTTAGTGAAGCTCTGTATCATTTCTAATTTTTTTATTATTTTTATTCTTTTTAATGATTTGATCAGTCTTACACTGTTACATCTGATAATCTGAGCAACTTTGTTGAACATAACAATGTGTAATATAAGTACTGCTGTTAATTGCTATAATTTTGTTTTGAAACCCTGTATCATTTTTATTGTTTTTATGTTGTTTTGTTTTTGTCTATGTTGTTGTCGTTTTTTTTTATTCTCTTTAAAAATTAATAAAATATAGGAAATGAAGAGTCAAAACTTTCTATAAATATTGTCATACAGTGGCTATATCTCCTGGCAAAAATATATTTAATTTTATTTCTTAGCACCTTTGGATGCTTGGTTTCATAAATAAAAGAGACACAGCTTGAGATGCTTTCATATTTTGGTTTTCAACATACTTAGAACACATCTTCAGGATAATGCTCCAAAAAAAAATTGCCTGAGCTAATGACAGTGTAAGAAATTGTTTTATTCGGTTAATACCAATGCATACTAGTTTTCTGAAACGTCATCATTTCCTTATTTTTAATTATTTAAACCTAGAAATGCTTAATTACTGAATTCTTAAACATGGCTTCATTTAATGACTGCCACTGTGAAGAGATAAGCAGACTTTTTTTTTTAGTCGGTGGAGCAGTTTCAAAGCAAGGCCTTGTGCTTGCTAGGCAAGTGCTACACGGCTGTGCCACGTTCCCAGGCACTAAACTCCTTTACTTCTAAGGCATGATTACATATGCAAATAAATGCAAGCAGAACAGACTTTTCTTCAACACATGCGTAGGTGTATTTCTTGGTAAACTTCCTTATCTATCCTCTCTTGAATGATCCAAGATCTCCCCAAGATCTTCCTCATATCTGTGGTCCTGAAACACCCCTGTATACATACACACAAGTGAATGAAATCATACTTTTTATAATTATTTTGTAGAAAGATTGTATGCCCTTTGAAGGGGAATGTTTGTTGTTATGTTGGTCATCTTTAGCGTTATGTACTTCCTTTAGACCTCGTACGTTGCTCTGTAAATTCCTCTGATTGGTTACCTGCGCTGTAGCAGGCTATCGTGGTTGTCATCTGTTTCCCGGTGTTACTGGTAACCTTGAGATTTTGTTACCAGTGTTCTTGGTCCTTCTATCAGTCTTCTCCAAAGTTTCTCTCACTGACTATTTCATGTATTAATTATTACGTTCTTATCTCAGACTTGAATGAAGCAGTTCCGGAGACAGAGCGCCTGGATTCCAACGCACTGAAAACTCGTGCCCAGCTCTCCGTGAAGAACCGGCGCCAGAGGCCCACCAGGACAAGACTGTATGACAGTGTCAGTTCCACAGATGGAGAGGACAGCCTGGAGCGAAAGGTGAGCGCCTGTGACCATCTTCAAGCCTGTGTTGGGCTGTATTATTTTTGCTCTAGCTTACTGGAAATAGTGGCTCTTTTACAACCGGAGTCTGGGCCCTAGTAGGCAACAACTAGAGTAATTCATGTCTTTGTCTCCTGATTATGCAACTTGATATATTGTAATTCAAATTCTTTTTTCTACTCCTTCAGCACAGTAGCCGAGAGCGTTATCCGTATTGCCATATTCCACGATGGTGCTTGTGATTTCAGCTGTTGGTTTTTACCTAATGGAAAATAATGTACAAGTAGTTGTTTCTGTGTATCCTGGGTATGTGTGTTAGCTGTAATGTTAACGTGATGAGCTGTTACGAACCGTGCAGTCTGGCTGGTAAACCGACAAACTAAATTCCTTTTCATGGGGAGTCACTGAAAGGAAAGGTCATTTTGATTTCAAAGTAAGTATTGCACAGAACTGGCATAACCTCCTTTATAATCTCTTATACCAACAGCCTTCAGACAGTCTCTGTAACCACATGCATGCTACCAAATCATTCCTACCCAAGGGTCCGAGAACTTCCCTGGAATCAGATTCTGGGGTTCCGCCCCTCGCCCCAGAGGCCAGCCCCACACCCTTGGCTGACCACATAGCCGCGCTCCAGGAAGAACCGCCGCACCCAGAAGGGGGGCCTTTTTCCTCTGTCTGGGGAGACACTTCCTGCTCTTCTCCTTCAAACTGTGACCGCGACCCGGAAGACTCTCCCCGCCTCGCACAGGCCACCCTGGAGGAAACGGTAGAAGAGAAAGGTACCCTTAGCTTGTTGTTGTTCTGCTTTCCCATTGCTTGTGTAATGGAGTAAAATATCAACCGGATAAGGCAAATTGCGGAAGGTTGCATGTGATTCTGTCTCTGCGGTTAGAATGGGCAGGTGTCGGAGAGTGGAGAGGCTCAGACGGGAATTGGGGGTGTGAGTGGAAAGGGCGAGGCCAGGCGCCTGGAGGGACGGGGACGGGGACAGGGATGGGGGTGGTGCCTGGGAGGCCCCACAAAGGGGGATTTATTTTGTTTTTTGCCTATTCTTTATACCTACCTTACAGATACTCTCAGTTTCATTAGTCAGTAAACATAAAAAGGACTCCATGTACAAGATTTACACTTGAATGTACAAGTAGCTCCAAAGAATTTTATCCTTTTTAAAAAATGAAAAATAGACTAAGGAAGTAAACTGTCCATTCCTTAAAGAGAAACTTCCCATTACTTACAAGATACATACAGATGATCAGCCTCACTGATAATGGAAGGTGTGATCATTTAAATTAGATATCCAGTTGCCAGATTTGGCAGATTACCAGTCTTCAAACTGGAATTTGAAGAATTCTGTCAGCGAGTGCCAGCAGTAATGTAGGACACAGTCCTACACTGCAGGTATGAGTGCATCTCTACATTTTAAAAAACGCCACAGTGTCTTCTCTACCAGATCAGAAACTGTAATCTTTCCCCTCAGTACCTTGTGAACATACAAGTTCCTTTGCGCCCATTCTTCCTGACTCACGGTCAGCTGCAGTGTCGTCCCCGGCACTTTCTCACTGGCTTTCTCTCCCAAGCTCCTCATCCGCCACGGTGCTTTTCCACAGGCCGGTCCAAAGCACAGCTCTTTCGAGGCACTTAGGGAGTGCACAGTACCAGTGGAGGCAAGAGAATTCATGTCAGGCCTCTGACCTCATCAGAAGTGCTTGTCAGGTTGGTGACTAGCCTGACGATGATGGTGGTCTGTCCTTCACCAACTTTCATTAATTAACCTACAATGTGGGCTGTGATAGCAGTTGTACAGTAACGTACTTGTTGCAGGCCCTCTATCTTCACTTCCATAAGTAAGCGTATGCACCCAGATCAGCCTAACCGAATCACAGCTGGCCGAAGCAGTTCGCTCCTGCAGAGTAGAGAGGTTGCACCTCAGAGCAGACAGGCAGGTTCGTCTACAGCTCCAGAATGAAACACTTCGCGCCTTCCCTTAGCACTATGTAGGAGACCTCAGGGTTGTTTTGAACAGAGGTATAACCATGAAGAGACTGCAGGTGTGGGGAGCTGAGCGGAGAGCCCCTGCCAGGCGGTGAGCTGGGTGAGGGTCTGGGAGGGAGTCCTGCAGGAACTCTGGGGACAGCAGGAGAGAGTGAGTCACAGTCCAGCCCGGCTTCGAGCCTCAGCGTGCAGCTTGTCATGGACAGAAAACAGCAGACTGGAAACACCGCGGGGAAAACACGAGTGACTCATTTTTTTGTTTGTTTGATGAAGTTTATTGATACAGTTTAGGTAGATACAGTGATCACATCTATCACGGGGACTTTGTACCTGTTCATAACATACCTTGACGTTTCTGTTTTTCTCCCGTTCCTCTCCCCTCCCTTTAACTTCTCTTCCCCTCCTCTTTTACAAAGCTTAGGTCCCATTTTGTCCTCCTTTTCTCACTCCTTCTTTTCCCTTCCTTCCTTTCCCTCACCCTCCTCCCTAGTTCCCCTTTCTGTTTGAACAACTTCTTCCCGTCTCACCATGTCTCTTGTACAGTGGTTCCTCCTTACACTTTCAGTTTCTCACACCAGTGAGACAGTGCAATATTTACACGTATGTCTAATTTATTTCACTTATGAGTATGGTCTCAAGGTCCATCCATTTATCAATAAATGTGTCAAGTTTATCCTTCTTTATGGCAGAATAGTACTCCATTATATAAAAAAACCCACATCTTTTCTTATCCATTCCTCAGTTGATGGGCATTTGGGTTGCTTCCGAGATTTAGCCATTACAAACTGTGTTGCTATAAACGTGGGTGCACCTACATCACTGTGGTGTATGATGCTTTTGGAGGTCACCAGCTTGGGACAGAAGCCAGGGAAGAGCTATGGATTTGAGAGTCGCGGTTGTAAATGGGTAATCATGTGTGTCCGTGTGGTGAAATGGAGGAGAATATAGTCCAAGAAATGACCTTAGAGTTTACCTATCTGGAGATCACTTACTACCTTTAAAAATAAAAGCCAGCTTGCCAAAGCCTCAAGCTGACACGCAGTCTAGGGTGCTTTCAGAAAGCCTAATGTCTTGATCCCCAGCACCTCCAAAGGAAAGGGAAAAAGTATAAAAAGCATAACTTTTATAAAGCTCAAAATGTGATACTTCTTTTTTCCTGAAATCATAGTGTTTATGAAGACTTAGAAGTTCTAATGTGCATTAAAGATAGACTTTTATTGGTTTAAAATGGGAAAGAATATTACATATATTCCTTAATCTCACTTCTTTGGCCCTATGGAAACCTTCATTTCAGTGCTCCTTGGAGCACACTTTGGCGAATGTGTGAGGCAAGGAATGATGTGAGGTTGCCTGGCGGCAGGCTCTGTGATAGACAGAACCTGGCTCTCCGTCCCTGACTGTCCAAGTGCTCCAGTGTGATAGGTCAGAGGGTTTCCATGTGCACTGTCTCAGCTGGGCTTCCCGGCACTCGTTCTAGCAGCTCCCAGCTCCCTGTCATTCAGAAGATAATTCAGCAGTCTACTTTTAACTTAAAACAGTCATGGCCATTAACAGTTGCTTAAAGATTGATCTGGAAGAATTTAACATTTTTTTTTCTTCAGCTTCTATAAATAAAATAGAAATCCTACCTTTTTAAAAAAAAAGTCCATTAACAAAATCTCCATAGGAGGAGGCATTTGTGCCTTGTCTATGAATTTTTTCATGTGTGTGTGTCACATCTGTGGCTATTCAGTTCAGTTACTCAAAGAGTAATGGTACAAGTAGCCATAATAAGTATTTGAGGCTAGAAGTGGATTTTGACACAGACATATTTCTGACTCTTGTATTTCATTATGTACATTTCAAGAAATCATTATAATCTGAGTATCATTAACTAAAAATATGAAAAGCTCATTGCTAGGAGACCTTGTAGTATTTGTCAGTGTCCTGTGCTGCTCTAGAGATTTAAAGCCAGGCTCCTACATAAGAATGAGGTGAGCGCTTCATGTTTTTAAAGGGTGTGTGTTGGTCTGTTTAGAAATTCGTACTGAAGTAAACAATCTTTAACAAGATTGGCTTGCAGTGTTAAATGAATACTCTCTTAGGAGGATGATCCTTTCTTCATTGCGTGCCAGAGTTCCTAGTTAAAAAAATTAAGACAGATAGAAATCAACAATTAGGAAGGAATTGTTTTATCCACAAGAACGCCTCAAGTTTAAAATACCGCTTGCTAATCGTCTGGGTAACTGGATATGTTGAAACACGGTGCCCAGGACCTTCCTTTGCTCAGCAGTCTCGGGCGGAGCCTTAGGAGCTACCTACCTTGTCAGAGGTGGCGCAGGTCCACCAGTGGGACCTGTCCCCTGTGTGACATCAAGTCCATTTACAGTCTCTCTTCTGGCTGGTTTTCGGCGTTGTTTCCAGTGTCCCCGTCCGCTGGCAGCTGCTGCCTTCAGAGCGCCAGCGTTACTCAGAGAAGCAGCCCCAAGCACCGAGGAGATTCTGGCGTCTTCTGCACCATGGGAGGCCAGCCAGATTGTGCTCTAACCCAGCTATGAAGAGGAACCTTCTAAAAATATAAACGTTTGATAGCTGAATCTCCTGCGTAGGAAGTTTTCCCATGTTCCCCTGCCCACCTTGTCCCGGGACTGGCCAGGTGCCATTACGGTATTAACAAGGGAGAGGCCAGAGGAAAATCCTGGACTCATTTACTCCCTAAATCTCCCAGACTCTCAGCAGCTAAGGCGGAAGTGGGCAGGGTTCCTTCAGAACACACAAAACCCCAAAGTAGGAAAGGTGTGGACAGGGCTGGAAAGGGGGCAGAAGGAAAGTTGTCTTGGTCTCTGCTTGAAAGCCGAGGATGACGTGGCCATATTTATTCTTGCGTACCTCATTCCTTCGGTGTGTTGCAAACTAGCACCCTTCGTGTAGTAGTGGGCCTCTGTCTCACAGCACCTCTCTGCTTAGGCAGCTGTTTCTCAGTATGGCTATGTCTTCTTAAAAGGCACCCACTATTTTCCTCCACATTTAAGAATTTAGGCAAAACCCTTGGATGCATGGACCTCAGATTCATGACCTAAATAATAAGAGGACCCAGAGATGGAAGGATGGGGAAGGGGAAGTAAAAAAAACTCAGATGTGTTACAGACTATGCCAGCCCCACACAGTGAATGTAAATGTGATGGACTGCAAACATGCACTCATAAAAATTTAAAAATACAAAGTAATAATTGGGCTTTCTCATATATATATCTCCTAGATGATGCCAAGTGCCCCACATCGCTAAGGGCATCCAGCCCATTGGTGGTGCAAGGAGGAAAAATTAAGCGGAAGTTTGTGGATCTGGGGTAAGTATCTTTTGATGTCAAAAGCAAGCTCTCTGTAAAAGGAGGAGTGGAGGAGGATGGTTTGACTTCCTCTTTCTGATCATACACTGTCATTATAGGGCCCCTTTGCGAAGGAATTCCAACAAGGGAAAGAAATGGAAAGAAAAAGAAGCCAGTAGGTTTGCTGCAGGTAGCAGGTATGGGTGGGTGATTAAAAACATAAATCTACTTCTGTGCCTAAACTTTCTGCCCCTCTCTTTTCATTGTTAACTAAAATGGGTGATTGATATTTCTGAGCTGAAGTGATATTTTAAGAGTTGAGATGAAAGAAAAATGGTACAGTCAGCTTATATAATACTTGTCTTACCTTAATTATAGTCTCCATTGGTCCTTAACTACAGAATTAGGGGCTCGTGAACATTTCAGTCAAAGTTTAATAGATTACAATATATATGGCACTTCAGACATACTTCAGGTTTTTTTCCCGGCTGTCCACAATGCTAATGCCATCTCTTTTTGTTAAATCTAAAAGGTTAATTTTGCATTTAAGTACCTTGGCATTCAGGACTGTGTTGCCTACATGCATTTAAGAATGACCACCATCTCTTAATGGACAGATGTTGCTTTTTAAATACCGCATTCATTTTTTTAAAACAGGGTCTCATTCTGTAGTTCACAGTTCAGGCTTGCCTTAAACTCACTATGTAGCTCAGGTTGGGCTTGAAATTGTAGTGATCCTCCTGCCTCAGCCTCCCAGCACTGGGATTATAGGCATGCACCACCACTCCAGGCAAGAACGTGGCTGTTTGATTTTTCAGGCACTGTCAACTGAGCTTAGTTTTCAGTAAAGATTTTTTCTACAGAGGTGTTTATAACAGCATATTGTCACGTTTTCCCAGTTTTATTCTGAGATTACGTAACTTAAAGCGTAACGCATTGCAGTCCAACTGCCTAGATTCAAATCATGGGTTTCCCACTTCGACCTTTCAAATCTTGAGCAACATATGGAGCCCTCCTTACTTCTGTCTTCTCATGTAAATGAGGATTAGACTATACCCACCTTATAGGGTAGTGTAAGGATTTTAAATGATGCTTGACACAGCAGGAGTTTAAAAAAAAACCAACAATTTGTTGCTATTATTTGCAAATTTCTAAGTGGTTTCACATTTATGTTTCATCCGACCCTCAGGTGGTAGTACTATACTTTTTGATAAAGAACAGTGACTTTACAAAATTTAATTGGTGTGCTCAAGGTCATGTAGCAGGCGGGTAAGGCCAAGCTGGAGCCCACACTCTGCATGTTTCTCCAGCACACTGTGCCGCGTCTGGTACCTATGCTTCCAAAGCAGCTTTGTTAGAAAACTGGGGGATTAATATCCTACACTTAGGAAGAAACAGACGAAGTACTGAAGGTGATAACAGGATTTGAGGATCGTTTCACCTATTGAAGGTTGTTCTCTGTTGTTTTCTTTCTTTCTTTCCCTCTCTTGCCTTTTTTCTCTCCCTTCCCTTCCTCCTGGCTTTTTTCTTTCCTTTTCTCTTTCCTCTCTCCTCTTCCTTCTGCCTTTCTCTCTGTTTCCTCGTGACATACTCCTATTGAGCAGTTGTACCTCTTTGGTATTACAGAAGAGCATGGTGGGGTGGGGAAGGAGGAGAGAGAATTCCCACATCGGTTCCTTCTGCTAGACTAGTCTTGCTTTATGCTATCCAGTGGAGAAAGTTTAGAAAGCCCTCGTTTTATTGAGGCCAACAGTCTGGGGAAACCGAACGGAAATTGCATGTCATACGCAACTCAAAAGCGCTTGACTTTGTGTGGTTTTGAAGCAATATACAACACTCTGCTTTATGGCTTAAAAGTAGGAACTGTCAGACATACTCAGGAGGGAACTACCAAAACCATTGAAGGCCGGGAGTGGCAGGAGTGCAGGGACACAGCGGGGAGAAACTGTGACCCCACCTGGGTCCTTCCTTCGGTCTCTGGCCGTCCGAGGCGGTCACTGCCTCAACTTTGAGGCTCCACCTAGAGGGCCGTGAACACAGCACCTGGCAGACAAAGTGTGCTGAGCTCTGAGTACGAACGATCACATCCTGATGGAAGAGCTGATGCTACCGCACTATCGCCTGAGTGGGTGCTGGTGCTGGGTGGTTACTGGTGTGCTTGTGAGCTCAGCGCATGCCAGCTTGGAATCATGGCCCAGCTTCTAGTTGGCCTTCCTGGGATGGTGTGTCTTTGTGAAAAGTTAATTCTGGATCCCCCTCTTCCCCATTAGGATCAGATAATTCATCATCTACGGAGGTTAGGAATAATTTTCAGTTAGACTCATAACTTTGTAATGATTTATAATTGCAGTAGAATTTTGGTAGGGTGGAAAGAGATTCATATATCTGCAGTGGGAGAACAAGGGAAGAAGGTGGACTTTCTGTGTTTCAGAACATATTGTTGAGCCATCGGAGTAACTGGGTCACACTAATGGAATCTAATGGCGATCTCCGTTCTTCTATATGGGTTGGTAATGGGCCCGGAACCTTATAAGACGTATTCCGCAGAAGAACAGAGTTAGCGCCCGGCAGGATCTTGATGCAGTGGAATTGGTTTTGCAGAGCCCCTCGGTGGGTGGGCGGGAGCCTAATCAGCCACAGGGTTGCACTGCAGTTACAGAGAAGAGCGGGGTAGACTCCGCCCCCTGCGCAGCCTGCTCGGAAAGGGAGGGAGGGGCTCACAGACCCCAGCAGACGCTCTTCTCTGTAGGTTTCTCGTCCAGTTCTTAGGAGGTTGTTAAAAGCGGCGGAGGTCATCAGTCACTGATAACCTGTGGCCGTTCTGTTTTAAAGAGCAAGACTTCTCCTCAGTTAGGTCTTGGCTGTAATCTGTCTCCACCCCCGCCCAGAGTGGTTTGCCCTGGTGCTCCTTGTGGAGACCCAATGACTCAGATCCATGACCAGCGTGAGGCACAGAGAGAAAATAGGTGCAGGGAATCATAAACCCAACAGCAGAGTGGGACTTGGTCTCTGCAGATAGGTACTCAGTGAGTCCTGTGCTGTAAATAGGCGGGATAGCCAGTAACAGGAGCCGGGAGCACTGGGCCAGAGCTTCACTGTCCCCTCGTGCACTCTCAGAAAGGTCCAGTGGAGCCCTGAGCTCCAGGTGGAGCAGGTGACCACGACAGGGAGCCTCTCCTAGAGTTTGGACACTGCCTCGATGCTGTGAGCGAGTGTGCGGGTCTGAGCAGGGCGGACGCTGTGTGGGGAAGTGCCAGGGAGGGCGCACCCCTTCCCACGCGTGAGCAGTAGCAAGAATGCCGGCCTGAAGTCCAGGTAGTGGTGATGACTTTCCCCCGGTGTCGCTTTGGTTCACTACCAAAAACCAAACAAGTGAGTTGCAGCGAACCCGCATTGCCTCTGACCTCCTCCCCACTGTGTGCTCTGTTCGGGGTAGGTGTGGTCGCCTCTGGTCAGGCACAGCTGACCAGCTCCTCTGCGATGAGATGTGCAGCAGAAAAAAGCGGTACTGCTTTTTTCACGGAGAGGAAGACAGTACAATACTTACTCATTTATAATACTGCCTATCGGTTAAAATAGTATTTTGGATTCAGGGGTTACATAAAGTAGATTATTGTTAAAATTAGTTTTGCCTCTATTTTTCATGTAGCTTCTGGAAGTTTTAATTTATACATGTTATTCAAATTATTTCTGTTAGTGTTCATCTGTATGATTTTATGAAAACTAAATCCTTGTACTTCTAACTCAGCTGGTCTGTAAATTAACATGTATTCATGTTTATTCTTTTATGTATATCCTATTCTCTTTGTGTCAAAATTTATTTATTTATATATAAAAGTGCATGCTGTACAACAACATAGTTTACTTTAAAAGTGAATTGAGCCCAGCATGGTGGTACATACCTGTAATCCCAGGCAGAAGAACTAAGTTTGAGCCCAGCCCGGGCAACTTAGTGGCTTAGTGAGACCTAGCTTCAAAATACAGGTTTTTTTAAAAGGGCTAGGAATGTAGTTCAGTGTGACGGTCCTGGGTTCAATTCCCAACCCCTTTCCCCTAAAACAAGAAAACTTAAATAAGGAAAAGTAAGATCAATAGTGACCTTTCAGTGAAAACCAAGGGTACCATGTCAAAATGGTTAAGAACTTGATTTCAAATATCAACTCTGCCACTTCTCTTGGGCAGGTTATTTAACCACTCCGTGCCTCAGTTTCCCCCTGTAAAGTGGAGACACAAGCACGCGTGTACACACATTCCGCAAGCTTCAGGTTTTGAGAAGATTGAGGACGTCACATTTTAAGTACATTTTAGATCCTTAATAAATATAAATGGCTGTCCTTATGGTCTGTACTTAAAGCCAGTTTTCTGGGAGAGACAAAGTAGTCCCCATCCACACTCTGCTGGCCATCCTGGCCCTGCTGGCCATCCAGGGATGAGGGCTGTAACATCCTGACTGGGCTCTGTGCATTGCCCTTCAGGTGCTCCTTCTTCATCAGGATTCCTTTCGGGGGCCTTAGAGCAATCACGGCAGGACAGTGAGTTTGAGGTGGATTTGAGGTCGTACCCTGTGACAGGTACCCAGAGGCTGCCCTGCCCCGTTGCTGTGTCAGGCAGCAGTCTGCCTGCTTGTGGTCGTGTAGGCTGAGTGGACGCGGGCCTTTTACCAGTGTGGACTGAGATGCGCAGGCGTGGACTAGAAAACCTCACCTCTGCCTGCCCCGGCCCCGCGAAGGCGCTCACTTCCATGCAGACCTGTAAATGATGCTGTAATTCCAGCACTGTTAGGGGCCGAGTCAGAGTGACAATAATGACACCCTGTCTCAAAATTTGAAAAGATCTGAAAAGGGCTGGGGACGTAGCTGAGTATGAAGGCCCTGGATTCATTTTTGTTGTTGATGTTTTAATTTTTTTATTTCATTTTTATTTTTTATTTAAAAAATTAAAAAACGGACAAAACAACAATGAAGACAAAATCAAAACAACACAAAAACAACAAACATGATACATGACCTCCAAACAAAATGATAGAAATATTACATACTGTTATCTTCATGGAGTCGCTCAGTGCACTAGACAGAAGAATATAAGCTTGATTAAACAATCAAAGACAGTAACAAGTTAAAAATAAATAAATAAAACATTAGAAACGATGCAGAGCTTCACCATACAAGATGGCAGGAGTTCAACAACGGTTCTTACA